CCTCTCTCTATTCCTCTTGTGTTTGAAGTAAAGACCAATAATAGTTATCGTGAAAGATCTGAAACAAAATTCCGGTAAATTCTTATTGTAAGTGTCTTAAAAAGACAACACACCCACTATATCTCAGTCTTATTTTCATATTGTAAGTGTCTTAAAAAGACAACACACCCACTATATATCAGTCTTATTTTCTTATTGTAAGTGGCTTGAAAAGACAACACACCCACTATATCTCAGCCTTATTTTGCAGCGAAGATGAATATTTGCGATGTATTTTGTTATTTTTGGTTGGGGGGGGATAGGATGATGATGATGCTACTTTTGGAAACCCACTATTTATAGAATGTACACCTTTAATGATAACACATGTGTATTATGCAGCATAACATGCTTTTCGATGACTCAAGATTAATAACACTAAAAACATACATTTAGTGGTAGACCAGACGTTGTCTTGTAGTCAGCGTACCGGAGTGTTCGTGGTTCATATCCCATTCCCGCAAAACTCACGTTCCTAATTCTAGGAGCGATGAGTACTTTATAAGAGTAGTGGTTAAATACTAGTGTTCATTTAGAGTGGCTCGAGAATTGGCGGTGGGTAGTATTGGTTAGCCGCATTCCCCTTAGTCTATCACATTAAAATTAGGTACGACTAGTACAGATAGCCTTTGAATATTCGAAAAATAAAAAGCAACAACACTAACTTAATGGTAAGAAAAGTTTCCATAAAAAGTAACAACACTAACTTAATGGTAAGAAACGTTTTCCATAAAAAGTAACAACACTAACTTAATGGTAAGAAACGTTTTCCATAAAAAGCAACAACACTAACTTAATGGTAAGAAAAGTTTTCCATAAAAAGCAACAACACTAACTTAATGGTAAGAAACGTTTTCCATAAAAAGCAACAACACTAACTTAATGGTAAGAAACGTTTTCCATAAAAAGCAACAACACTTACTTAATGGTAAGAAACGTTTTCCATAAAAAGCAACAACACTAACTTAATGGTAAGAAACATTTCCACACATGTTAACTGAAAAGCTGCTGAATCGTGGTTTGTACGAAAACGAAGGAAAACGAACATGCGATTAAAAAGGTTTTATTTGCTAAATCTAATGTCTTTCTTTGGATGATTGCCTCAACATATTAAAAGAAATGAGCTCTTGTTTCCTTCGAAACAGTCTATAAAGCTGCGTGCTACCCTTGTGTCATAAGTCTTGACTGGCCTGACTAGCTTATTATCCCGCCGAGAAGCCCTGCTTTACTTTTCCATGTGGTGGCGCCAACAGCACGAAATGTCCTTTGTGAACTGTACAGCTGAAAAACACCATTAACGAGTGAATTGTATGTCGTGGATCACGTGACTTTTATAATACTAGGTCGAGAGTCAAAACAACAGTTTACTTCTTCATTTGATAAAACACAAAATATCACTTTATTACTGCTTCAGGGGTGCAGGCTTAGAAAAAAATAACAACTTGTGATCTGTCATGTGACTTTATTACTGCTTCAGGGGTGCGGGCTTATAAAAACAACTTGTGATCTGTCATGTCACTTCATTACTGCTTCAGGGGTGCAGGCTTATAAAAAAAACAACAACTTGTGATCTGTCATGTGACTTTATTACTGCTTCAGGGGTGCGGGCTTATAAAAACAACTTGTGATCTGTCATGTCACTTCATTACTGCTTCAGGGGTGCAGGCTCATAAAAAACAACTTGTGATCTGTCATGTCACTTCATTACTACTTCAGGGGTGCAGGCTCATAAAAAACAACTTGTGATCTGTCATGTCACTTCATTACTACTTCAGGGGTGCAG